CCCCTACTGTGTATGCTAAACTGATCATGCAAATTTTCTATTCATTTGCTGAGAGAGGGAAATGGATAAGAAGATTGCATTACGCAGTAGAAGTTACATAGTTGCATTCCGGTTTAAAATTGTCACAACCATGAGTTGATAAGTTTGAAAAACTGGCGTCATATCCTAAATCTTTGAGGATGAAGTAAAGTCCGAGCTCTGGTGGTCAGTTGCTGAAGTTCGGACAGAAGCAGATTGAGAAGTTGGAAGCTCAGCTAGGCACATCAACAGTTATTCCTAACTTTTTTTATTTCAAGAAGATCTGAATGACCCCCTAAAGCAAAGGAGAAAAAAAGAGTTGAGGAATATCCTCATTCGATTGATGGTAGAGCAGAGCAACAAATTAAAAGCAAAGGGGAAAAAAATGAGAGCTATAAGCAGTAAATTAAAGGTATTAAACGCTACAATTCTGAAATTTTCGTTTCAAAATGTTACAATGTTGAGATAATTAGCCCAAAGCTACAAATCCTAAGTTTTTGAAGGGAGAGTAGATGAAGGGCTCTACAGTGCAGTAGCTAATGTCTCAGCACAAAGAATGGAAGAAGGGCTCTCCAGCTCAGCAGGTGACCTCTCTGGTACAGCAACAGTTGAAGTTTCAGGAGGGCCAAGAGCAGGCAAAGAGGCAGGGACCTCAGATTCAACCAAGGCACTTATGGCCAGCTCAATAGGGAGGGAAAAAGCAGGCTCGGCAGCAAGAGGAGTATAAATACCTAATGAGGCAGAAGCATCTTGAGCTGAAGTCCCAACTAGAAGAATGAGCCATCTAGAGTCTATGGGCATATCTTCAGAAACATGAGGAGTAGGAGCATCATCCTCTTCTTCATCAGACCCCCTCGCCTCTTCCTCAGGGGAAATTGAAAAGTCAAAGTTCATTTCAGGAAAAGTCCTTTCAGCTATACCCTAGAATGTAATCCACCCTTTTGCCCACCTGGTGAGAACATCATCCTCTAGTTGGGCAATCAGCTCATCTTTTTTTCAGATGGTAGTGTCTCACACTTCCAACGTCTCCCTGGCAGCCCCTAACTCCTCCTTGATAGCATCATTTGCCTCTGCTAGCACCTCGTACTCCCTCTTCATGTTCCTGAAGGAAGCCAAAATATCAAGGGACTTCCGGCTCTCCTCGATCCAGTCATCGATTTTTGACCAGAGGTCTTCCTTAGTCTTGCTGAGCTCCTCCTATCTGGACTTGGCAAGGAAAAACTACTGCTCCACTTGCTCTTGCAACTCTTTTGCCTGGACCTTAAGGTCATTATTCTCAAAGGCCAAATTGGTACACTTTAGCTCAAAAGCTTTGGAAGCATTGGCCGACCCCTCCAGGGCTTGGATTTGCTTTAACAAGCTGCTTATTTGAATGACGGTTTGAAGATAAGCAAGAAAGATTAGTGTAAATGGAAGAGCACAGGACAACCAAAAAAAAAAGAAGAGAATTTGACAAATTAGAATCTCACCGAGGTACAGCCATACATCACAGTGGAAACACAGGTTTTCAGGAGTACAGAAGTGGCCGCATCAATGTCAGACTCTGGGATAATGGAGGCAATGACCTCTGCAGCACGCTTCACATCGGTAATAAGAGAATTCTCAGACTTCGAGAAAACCCCTTTGCTTGTCATGAAGGGTTAGGAGGTCTCCTTGGTTGATGCAGTTGCAGCACGACCAGGGAGAGTGCAAGCAGTCTCCAAGGCCCTCTAAACTTCAAATGCAAAAGGAGATGACTGATCTTGCCTAGGAGCATCTTCAGTGGCAGGTCGGGTCCCTTGGGGGAGAGGAAGTCCTGAGGTTGGTGAAGCATATAGGGGGGATAGTGGAGCCTTCTAAATAGAGGCAGAGGCAAAGAAAGTACCCATTTTCTAAACCTTAACTCGAGTAACTAGGCTCCCATCATAACTGCCCTCAGCCTTGCGTTTGGTACCACCCTGATTTTTCTTTTTCAGTAGCTCTACCTTAGCTTGGAACATCTCAAGGGTAGGCTTCATTGTAGAAGACCCTGGGAGATTTGGCTTGAGCTGGTTAGTTAAAAGGAAAAAGAAAAGGAGGAAAACAATGAAACCAAACAAGGGAAAGAGCATTACCTTTTATGTCCTCAGGTCGAATAAAGGAAAGTGGGATTGGAGGAGGGCTGAATCCCTGCCTTTCTAATTCCCAGGGTTTGAAAAACTCAGAGTACCTCTCTGGATTACACTTAGCCAACTTCAGTTTTACCCGCTTGTCCTCGACGCTGAGTTCAGGTCGAATGCCTAGGAAAGGGGGAACACCAAAAATGCAGAGATTAGGAAAACAACTCATAAATCTTCGAACCGCAGTTCAGTCAGGCAAAAACTCACCTAAGTTATCTGGGGCTGACCAGGCTCTGGGAATCCCAAGAGTATCTGTTTTATTATCAGGGTTGTATTCCCAATTGACACCCCCAACGAAAAAGAAATTCTTTTTCCAGCCTTTATGAGAACTGGGGAGGTGTGTGATGATCTGCCTAAGCAAGGTCCGCCTGGAACATATAGAAAGCCCTCAGTTGAGGTAAGCTTGACATTGAAAAGGTCCATAAGCAGACAAATGGTGGGAGTCCCAAGCACATGCTTCTTAAAGAAAGCTAAAAGACCCACTAAAACACCCCAAAAGTTAGGAGAAAGCTGAACAGGGCAGACATTGAGGTGCTGCAGAACATTTTTGATAAAGGGGTGCATAGGAAAACAAAAGTCATTCTCGAAAGCGGCCACAAAGATACAAAATCTTTTGTGCACTTGGGCAACGTATAGGGTGAGTTTATTCGGGCACCAGGGCTGAACACTAAGGGAAAAACCAAAACGAGCACTAAGAGCTTCCATGAGAATAGGATCCACCCCACTGGGACCCATGACCTCGGCATGCCTGAAGGCAGCCCCCATACTTGTTGTACTATCAAGAATCCCAACCTCACTCGCCTTACTCTTACCCTTGTCAGCACTAGGAGGTACATGAGAGGAAGATGAGGGGAGTTCATTGGAGTTCACCTTGGTATCGACAACCTCAACACCGGGGAAGTTGTCAATCTGCATCCCCAACATTCCCTAAATCAGAATCTCTCTCGGCAGACCTGTCGCCTAGGAGGGAAATAGAGGAAGGGGTTGCTCTAGAGGAGGCAGACATGATTGGCAAAGAGAAAGGCAAATCGAAAGAATTATAAAAAGGAGGAATACTAACTAAACACCCCCTAATAATCCTAGGGTCAACATTGTACCTCACGACAGTAAGAATTCGCACAGTAGAGTTCCAATCCACAAAGCGAGGAAGAATAGATAGGCAACAATCGCGATTCCAAAAGAAAAAGAACTGAGAAATTCAGAAAAATAATGGCCACCTCGAAGTCAAGGAATCTAGAGTGAGGAAAGACAAGAGAAAGAGAAAAGGGTAGAAGGAAGCGTACCTAGATAGGGAAAATAGCAACAAACAGCAGTCGAAGAACAAAATTGGAGGAGAAGAGCAAAGCAGGACTTCGAGTCGAACCTAAAAAGCACAGTTTTGAGTAGAGAATAAGAGAATCGCATGTAGGAAAACCTAGAAATCGTAGAGAGAAAGAGCCGGAGACAAAGATGAACAACGTAAAAGATGAACATGGAGTTTTGAGCAATTTTTTGAGCAACCGATTGAGCATTTAAAGCTTGAGTGATGTGGGCTGAAATATGCGCGGAAATCGAGGAAGCCATGATTGTTGTAAACAGTCAAAGAGCCCCCTCACATGCATCTCACATGCGGACTAAGGTCAGCTAAGCCCAGCCCATGCCCAAGCTCGCTTGGACCAAGGGCTGGGGGACAACTGATGATACTTAAAGTAACTGAGGTCAGCCTAAAGTAATTGAGTTTAGCTCAGACCGGGAGGTCAGCCATATTAACTAAGGTTAGAAGACAAGTGCTGAAGGTCTCTTGAGGTAGGGCAACGACTGGATAACCATGAGAGGTTCCTAAAGCGTTAGGAAGTTATAATCAAGACACCTAATCGCAACCAATCAAGATCTTCTCCTAGAATTAAGGAGAACCCCATGAAATAAGGGTCAGAATCTCGGTCAAGATCCCACTGAATAAGGAACAATCCTATAAATACTATGTAACGCCCTCAATGAGGGGAGAGGACCCTAGTATCACATATTACAGTCTGTAAACCTTTAGGTATAATAAATAGTGAAAGAAAAACTAAAAATCTCCATTAAAGAGTGAATTAGCCGAACTCCCGAGCTGGTGAACTACTATATTTTCACTGTATACACCCCTTTAATCCCCTGAATATTTTATCGTAGTATCATACGTGAGCCTCGAAACTCTGATTCACGCTCATCTTACGTTACCTATGTCTTAATCTCATCCACATTGAAATACGCTGTCAACTCTTCAAGCAATTGATTAGATACCCAGCTAACATATGAGCAAACAAACAATTAGGTGATTGATGGAGCTCTCTTATTAAGAGACAGAGCTCATGTGCCAAGATCAAGCGCATGTGCCTATCTTGCTTGTTTGGGCCTTTTTTTTTTTTTTTGGTAATTAAATAATTTTTATTGATCAAAATTAAGTAATAAAAACCCCTTAAGAGAGACATTCAACCTAAGTTGAATATCTTAAAATCTGAGCAAACCAACAAACTATATATAGTACACACGTCCTCCATTTTATATATTGATGGTGCTTGAAATATCTATACCCAATTAGAAAACAACTACAATGTGAGGCCCAATGGAGGTTTATGAATATTTGGGTCAATAAGAGAGAGGAGGCGTTGATGGTAGATCTAAGAACAGAATGTAAACAGTTTATCTTAGCCGAAAGACCAAATTTAAATGAATCAAAAAAGCTTAAACAAAAAGTGTCATGGACATATAAAAGCATAGCTCTGTCAAATTTAAGAAACCAATTAAACATAGTTATGTTATGTATGATCTATTATTATTCTGGACAAACAAAGTTAAAAAACCAAATTATTAGAATTTTGCCACCAGAAGCGCCTCCCCAATCACATGCCCCTTTATTACCTCCAACAGCTTCTCCTTCGTCACCTGTAATGCCATCAATAGTACCATCACCAAATATCATTATTATATTATACATAAAATATGCATTTGGTCCAAATATGCAGTTTAGTGTCTATTTAGTCCCGATCTTTCAATTGTGTTTATTAATTTCTAAAGTTCTCAATTTATATCTACATAGTTCAATTGTGTTTATTAATTTCTAAAGTTGTTAATTTATATCTAGATAGTTCAATCCAAACGCCTGTTAGACAATCATTGACGTTTTTGGTAGCGCAATAATTACTTGATGATTCCTAATTTGGTGTCTATTTAATTTTTAAAATTTTTAATTTATGTTTATTTGGTCCACAAGTGTTAACAATTTTTTTAAGAATATTTGAAATTAGACAATGTAAATATAAATTTTAAACATTAGCCGAATAGATACAATTGAAAGATTGAGGACTAAATTAACACTACACATATATTTTAGGGACCAAAAATATATTTTACCCTCCATTGTATAACAATAAGTAACACAAACTAAAGACCCGAAAAGAAACCCATATCCAAATCGAAACCTCATGTCCAAGATGCAGCTGATCATCATCCAATGCATAGAGCTTGAACTGGAACCGATGCCCCGGCGACGGCAGCTTCGGGCCGCGCCACCCGGGACCTTCCAATCATTGTTTCCTTCTTTGATCTCAGCATACTCACCACCCATCTCATCTTCCTTCTTAGAGAACCCCTCCGGCAGATCCTTCAACGTCGGTGGGATGTTCGCCACCACCCAGTGAGTCCACGGCACGATAGGCCCATCAGGATCAGGGGCATCAATGTCCTCCACCACCAGTGCCAACCTCTTCGTCCCCTCCGGCACATTGTACCACTCCAACGGCGGCGATATGTTCTTCAGAGCACCCTGTCCGTCGCTTGTGTACTTTCTTGGTAGCCTTCCCTCGTGGTCTTTTCCAGGAGATACCAGCCTGAATTCATTCGCCATTGTCGGACTTGGACCTTCTTCGTTGATGGTTGCATTGTAAACAGGGGGTTGGTTCTACAATTGTGTGGTCTGGATGACACGTGTACAATAAATCTCGCGTTTGGAAAGAGAAGATACGAGGTGCATGACACGTGTTCTACACGTGGAAAGCAGTGGAGAGTTCTGGCAAGATAAGGGATGGACCGGGACCCGGAAAATAGAAGCCCATACACTCTATAAACACCAGTTTTGTTTTATTATTATTATTTATATTTTCCAATATTTTGTGTGTTATTTAATTAATTGGAGATAGCTCACGTCCATGAATTTGAAATTTCTTTGTAAACTCAAGACCGTCTCTATGAAAGAGCAAAGACTTTGATTTTGATCAACCACATTTAATTTCTATCAATATGTGTGAAAAAACAAAAAAATAAAAAGGAATTTTATCATGTTTTGGACGAGTATTTGATTCAGATCCAAATTTAATTAATTCATTATGCATTGATATTTTTATATATATAATTCGAATAAATACAATTGGCTTCGTTCGATTCGATTCGATTGTAACTAATTTTGAATATATATATTATGTACACATTGAAATTGAGTGCCTATCGATAAAAATTTCAAATGTAATTTAGTACAATGTAGGTCTAATTGAGTTATATGATAAACCTGTAGAAATCATTGATATCACATATTAGAATTTGGCCTTCCTATTTTTTTTTTTTTAAGGTACGAGGTTGTGTGCTTATCACAGAGTTTTTGCATTTCTTAAAGGGAGGTATACACTTGAAATTCTGGATGATATGGGACTTTTGGGTGGTTGCCCAACTCCTTTTTCTGAGATGGTACCCTCCAAGCACTCAATATTTTCTCCCTTTTTCTATAGAGCCAAGTATGGAAATTAAGGCCTCGTAATGGAGAATTTCTTCATGATTTATTTTATTGACGGGACATGGGCGGCTTACCACTTATAGTTCGACACATGGCATGATAGAGATTGTAGATGCAACCCCCAAACTTTCATTTCTTGTGAGTTGAGACCAAGCTATTTGTGCCCATACTGGGTGAAAATGCATCACAAGGGGACAACGATGCACGCAGAATAGCCTGATTGAGGATTAAATTGTCCTTGAAACCACATTAGGAGGCAGAATATAGATGTAACGGATAATAATGGCCATGTCATGATAAATCAAAACCTGCCTCGACCCGTCGGAAAGGTAGAGACATGGTCCTCATGGACAGAATAGCCCCAAGGAGCGTCAAATTGAATACTCTGCACTGATCTGTAAATGCTCGGGTCCATACAGCGAGTGCTTGGTGTAGAGTATTTGATGTTCGAGATGAATTGATGGTCAAGGAGCAGTGCATCATAAATGCTCGGCTTCTTGGGTAACAAAGTCATAGTTGTGTTCTGTTTCTAAGTATTAATGAAATGCGATAGAAGTACACTTATTACGCAGCTCAAAAATAAGATTTAATGTGATGGCCTTTTTAGGAAGGATTTTCGATTGTATGCTCTCAAGCCTAATCCTTGAGTACTCGAGTGCTTGCCATGTCATCACATTTTTGAAAGTATAAATACACCCAATGAAATAAAACAACATGTATGCATACTGAACTAGTTTTGTATTGTACACTTATTCTCTGAATCTTGAACGCCAACTAATTTGAGCGTTAGAGGAGATAAGCTGGCTACAACCCCGATCTCTTTTTGACTTCATCTCTTATTTCAAGAACCTCAGCAACACACATTCTGAGTTATCTTGAGGGTTCTCCAAGCCAAAGACTTCTTCTTGTATCTCTTTTACAAGTACCCTTCAATTGAAGGGTTTTTGTGACTTTAATTGGGCTAATGGTCCAATTAAGCAACCATCAACTACAAACTATTGAACTTTCTTGGTCACTTCTCCAATTTAATGGAAAATAGAGAAGAAACACAATTTTATCATTCTTCGGCTAAATTAGAATCGCCTTCCCTTGCAATTGTCAATTGTTAACTTAGATAGCTTTTCCTATATGATTTGAGTCTTACATCTTCATCCTTTATCTTATTTTTTGACAATCAAGCGGCTCTCTATGTTGCCGTCAATCCTATTTATCATGAATGTGTTGTAGAATAATGTGTAGTGAATAATTTTAGAAGTAGAATATTAATAAACAAAAATGAAGAAGATAGATAGTTAGGTAAGACGCGACACTCGTTATCTTTGAGATAATAAATTTTTCACTTGAAAATTTTACCTTCAAAATATAGTGCCTTAACTTTAAGTGTAACGCCCCAAAAATCCCCTTGGGTAACATTACATTCTAAAAACCATTCACCCCATGAGAGCATTACGTAAATTCATCACGACGAAAGTTCATTCATCAACCATTCATATTTTAACAAAATTTGGGCAGAGTCTCCTTTGTACGGGGAGTTTTACCCAAAACACAACCTGTACAATTATATTACAATTGACCACACCGGGTCCACATATGCATAACTATTGACCACACCGGGTCTATTTATCCATCATAAAATAAACTTTCATTCATCATATGTCATATCCACACTATCATCCCAAAAGAATAGGTCCAATCTTGGCCTTTACATCTCCACAATGTAATAATATAACGCATCGAAAATAACAAAAAAAAAAAAAAGAACTAGACTTCAAAAGGATATTCTAAGTATAATCTAGTCTAGAACAAAATAAAAGTGTCGCTCTAAGCGTCCACCTCGGGATCCACATTCCCTTCAAGCGGAGTCTCCCAATGGGCGGGCTCCTCGGCTCCTAACTCCTCCTCAAGTGTGAAATCTGAAAATGTTATTTGTAGGGGGTGAGCACGAAGCTCTGTAGCAAAATCCTCTCAACTCATACAAGGTTTATAAAAATATATAAAAGGGTCGGTCTCATTTTTCAACATAGCATAGATACATAATTTGAAATGAAACGGGTGCATTTTTCAACGAATCTCAAGTTTAAGTAACAATAGTAATAGAAAGGAGCAATTTCAACCAAGTGCTAATAAACATCCATTGCCAAAATATAAATCATTTCCCACACATGATATCATATTGTCCTCTCTAACGGGAGCATCCTTACAAGGAACCTCTCACCCTCAAGATTTGGTTTCTCAAGCATCCTTACAAGGAACCTCTTGAGAAAATCACATACTGTCCTCTTTTGGTGTGAGCATCCTTACAAGGAACCTCTCACCCTCAAGATTTGGTTTCTCAAGCATCCTTACAAGGAACCTCTTGAGATGGAATGAGCATCCTTACAAGGAACCTCTCATCCATGTTCATTCCAACAACCATACAAGATCACATCATCCCAACAATCGTCACACATAACCAAGGATCCCATAAATCTCCAATTTACAAGCAAATTTCCAAAGATTCACAAATCCATTATGAGGCAATTTCAATAAACAATTAGGAAAATACAAGAGATCACCACAACATCATTTATTACTCAACACAAACCACTAAAGTTTTCAAAGCCAAGATTGAGTGACTATAGAGAGAAAAATCCATATTTCTCAAAAGTTAGGGTTGAGAGCAAAAACAAGAGAAAGTAGTTACCCAACAATAACATTGTTTAGAACATGATAATATTTGCATAGACATCAAGAATCAAAGGTTTCCTAACATACATCTAAGATTTAGATCAAAAAAAAAAACCTATATGTATACATAGCCCTAGTCTCAATGTAAGAGAAAGAGAAGAAATCCCCTACCTTGAATCAAAGTTTCAAACAAAAAACTCAAGCTCTAATGACCTCCTTTCTCCCTTTCCTCCTTTCCTCTATCTTCCCCAAGGGTGCTAAGGGGTTTGGGGGTGAGAGATGTGAGAAAAAAATGGAAGAAATTGGCTGGATTCTGTGTTTTAAACACAGCAGTCCGCGACAAATCACTGTTCATGGCTGAATTTTGAGTTTTTTTTCAAAATTACAGTTTTGCCACTAAAAATCTCCAATTTGATCCATACGACTACCCTAAGGTTTTTCGACGTTCCGGATTCATTTTTAATGTTATTTTAACCTAAAAACATTGCTTTTTATGATTTATTTCAAAACTAAAATAAATTCACACTTGGAACATTAAAATTTCTATTTTATTCCTTCGAACTACTATAGGTGATATCCTTACGATTTTAATATATATATGGTTTATTCTTAAGTCATTACATATAGAAGAATCACTAAACAAGTACATTAATATATTAATGTAAACATATGGGGTTTTACACCTTCAAGGTCTAATAAGAAAGCACAACCCTTTACTATCCAAGGAGCACCATAGTGCAGATTTTTGGTCAACTTCATAGAATAAACTGATTTGACTCAGGTATTTCTAGGAGGTGTAACCTATATGGTTGGAAAGATATACGAGTTAGGGTTCTAACAAAAATAACGGTGCACAATTCGGACTTTCCAATAAAGAGTTATGATGAAATTAGCGAAAGGTAGTCTGCCGGACAGATTTTTGGACAGTGTAGACACTACTTCGTAATATGGACATAACTCCTTCCTCCTAGTTCCGATTGAGATGATTCAAGGTGATATGGAATCCTAAGAGAGAGCTCTACAAATTTCATGTTTTAAGTTTTGAGAGATATGGACTGCATCAAGGTCGAAATCGAGCTTGATGTTACAGCCAGTGCACTGTTCATCCCTTTTTCATTCTACCAAATTCAAACACACATCACTACACATATCCCCATTTTTACAACAATTATTTACTATATATCTATATACATATATAAAAGAAAATGCGGGGTGTTACAATCCACCCCCCTTAAAGAAAGTTTCGTCCTCGAAACTTACCTCAAGTAGCGAACAAATGTGGGTACTTCTCTCGCATTTCTAGCTCCGGTTCCCATGTAGCTTCTTCCACTCCATGGTGTTGCCACAAGACTTTCACCAATTTGATGACTTTGTTGCGAAGCACTTTCTCCTTGGCGTCGAGAATCTTCACTGGTTGTTCTTCATAGGTTGCTCCATCTTGAATTTCAATATCTTCTAAGTCTACAACCGGCGTTGCATCCGATTTACACTTCCTCAACATGGACACATGGAATACGTCGTGTACTCCCGATAACTGAGCTGGTAACCGCAACTGATATGCCGCCTTGCCCACCACTTTGATCACTTCAAATGGCCCGGTATACCTTGGCGCTAACTTTCCCTTCTTGCCGAATCTAAATACTCCTTTCTGGGGCGACACTT